ACCTTGTTTATGGTAATTTTCACTATTTATTTTTACTTTTTTCTGTGGGCTTGTGAACTTTAGGCTCGTGGGCATGCACACGAGTTGTTCGAGAGCTAAATAAGCAGAGCCTTACTCTTCTTGTCGGGCGAACCCTCGGCTCGACTCATGCTCATGCTCGTCCTGAAACAAGGCCGAGCTGTCCACTGGCTGAGCTTTGACGAGCCTAGTCGAGCCGACAAGTTACTCGGCATTTTTGCCACCCCTACAACTTATAGACATGCTCACAAAAAAATGTAACTTTCATTTCATAATTTCTCATTTTGAGTGTGCATCAATGGAAAGTAAGTGCAAAAATATACAGTGCACGGTGCATGGTTTTCTTCCTCACGGATGAACATATTATGATTTGAATGTATTATCAGAATAAAAAATTCTGAATATTTTCATTATTCGGAGAAAAATAATCATACATAAAATAGCCTATTGTTGATGTTTCTTTTTCATTGAAGTAATCATGAACATACTTCATTATTCAAAGAAATGCCAGCACACAAACCCAACCTAATGTGTCTTCACTTCAATGCGTGCTTTATGATTCCTGAAAAATGAGTGTTCATAAAGTAATCTTCCCATTGAATGCACTCTGGATCAAAATTAAACACTTCACTTCCTCTAGTTGCCGTTCGTAGATTTTCAGTAGCACTGTCATCGAAACTGTAAGTATAATGGAACGATATAATTGTATTTGGAAAGTTGCACCATGATATGCAATATATAAGATAAATGATGAGCTCAAGATGTTAATGGAACGAGAAAAAAAAAGTATTGCTGTTCATCTAGAACGATGATCATTGTAGGTGTATGTGATAGTAGGGTCACAGTCACATTGTTCAATGAAGAAAAATGCAATCCAATTTCATTGAATAATATGACAATGAACTTACTATCACACAGACCGATAGTGATCATTACTTTAGATGAATAAATTATTCAATAAAAATATTTTTTTCTTGAATTTTGTCAATTCACTGTTGCTCAAAGTTTGGCCTCTTTTCGTTTAGATAAAATTCAGTTTTTTAGTAAAATTTGATAAAAGTTGATTAAATGTATGATTTAAAGTTGATGAAAGTTGTAAGTCCCATGAACCATGTATTTTAAAAAGTTAGGAGAAAAATGAGTTTTAGAAAATGGGGGCGAAACAGGGATAGTCACATAAAGATTCATTTATTCTTTCCGGGTTCTACTCGCCTTTTTTTTTTTT